CCAACCGAGTGATTCTGTGATTCTGTGAATGCAAAACTCAGTTGCTGCAGAGTGCTGAGACCAGTAGTATTAAACTGGGTCAAAAAATGTCTTGGACAAATGCACAGAGGAGGGGTCCATGACGAGCTGCAAAACACAATTGTCTGGTTACAATCTTCGGTTTGGTAAGACCCTCAAGTGCTGGTTTTCAGAAGCTGCAATAGTGCATCATCAAAGGATCAGTTCATATTTATCTGTTTCTTACACCCATTCCTAAGCATCTGCTATCAGCTACAGCTATAAATAAGCAAGTACAGCTGTTAAGTAATAATTTACTACTAAGGTGCATGACATATTCAGAGGTTTATTTTAAGCAAAAGGTGAAATAATAGCTCAAGGGGAGAAACCCTCAAAGGTTGCTGAGGAGCATAACCAAACCTGAGTTTAACAAACTCTGTCCAATCTTCTTACAACTGATCAGTGTCCGAGAAGGCAGAACCACAAGTGCCCAAGCCAGTTAGGTTTTTAGGATGAGTGGGGATGGTGCAGAATGCTCCTCTGTCCAGGACCCAACCCAACAGCTGGACAAGACAAGGAATCCTCCTTCCCAGGAGTAAAAGCCTTGCTCAAAACTAGAAAAAGAGGTGCACTTATGGAGTCTGAGGAGGAGAGATGTCCAGCTGGCCCTGCAACAATACCAGTGTCTGTCGCAGCAGTACTTCAGGCTCAAAGTACAAATCTGTGCTACAGAGGTACAGGAATTATGACACTCAAATGATAGGTACAGCCTTTAGATCTCTTGCTCATCACAGCCACAGACGACAATTATGTATATGTAAGCAAAACAAGGATTGTATGCCTGTATATTCCTGAAAACAAAATGAGCCCAAAAATACCTTCTTATTCTCATCTCTGCTTCAGAATAGATGCTCTTTCCAGTCCTGTGCACAAATTAATAACTCAATATCATGCTATATAAAAGCAACAGGAGGCCCATATCATTGCAGAAGGTTGGTAACCCTTTCCACAGAATTTTTAATCTAATTGAGAACTCATTCCTTCACACTGTAACTTAGCAATTCAATAGCTTGTGTAAAATCTAGAGCTTGGCATTTCCCCAGAACAAAAGTGCTGGTATCACAAAAGTTATTCTGAGATTTGTCCTCTGTCTTGCTGGCATTCTTACTGGAAAGGTTAGATACACTTGCCAGGCATGGAGATGGAACAACTCCACCATCCAAAACAGAGGTCCTAGCTACATGAGTGAAGTATACTGACAGGGGAGCATGAAAAGTGAATTATAGCCATTTTGCACATAGATAAAAAACTACCATTTCTAGGGTTGCATTCTTGAAAGGTGCTAATCAAGCCCAAAGTTATGCTAAGTGCAGTACTTGACTTCTATAAAAAAAAATCACTGGTCTAAGTATAGAAATATCTATTCTGCACAAAAAATTCAGTTCGCGGAGAAAGAACAGTAGAGAAATACTCAGGAAGATGGAAAGGCTGACAAAATATCACCACGAGTGTTCCAAAAACAGTTAAACAAATAAAAACAAACCCACACATAACTGAAGTTACATGTATAGAGACCATACTACACTGGTGCATACAGAGCAGGTGGGCACAGAGGAATTACTCTGAACTCTAAGAAAGCAGTAGTCTTGATACCAATGTTTCTGGTTGACACCAGCTAGAAAACCCTACTTTATACAACTGGAAACCCAAAATTCTGTCTGCTCAGTGAAGCTACATATATTTTTTGTCCCAATAGATGGTGAAATGTAACACACAAGGACATTTCACAATTGTGTCAAGTGTTTCACCCCTGCTTCTCTACTGCCTATCAGTAACCAGCTTTAAATGTGAGGAACAGAAAACACTACTCATCAGACTGACTTGAACGGGCGATCTTTGAGCTCTAAGGCACTCACATGGCATAGGAGTGCCTCACATCGTGGTGTAACGGCTACACTAGCACTTGTCTGGGACGATCTCAATAACGTACTTGTGGTTCCCTCATTTATGAGTCATGTTGTGATCCCAAACTATCAATAGCATCTGCTCTATTTTGCTTCACACATAAATATGATCCCACATGCAAACAATTCATCTAGCCATCAGTCAATAGTATCAAATGCATGCAGCAAACATGTTTCAAAATGAATGCACAAATGTTTCGTTACATGGGCAATCAAGCCTTGACCCTCTCCAAAATAAAGGAAATCACTGGGCTAATGGAAGCTTTTCTTTTTTGGCAGGCCTTGGCAAACATAGGAATAAACAGTTAATTCTGAGTTTTGCTGCATCCTGGTTCACATTGCTTTCTCTTTAATGAAAGAATCTCAGCAGCCAGAGAATTACCTACTTCACTAGGAATGCTGTGCACAACAAAGGCTGTCAGAGTTCAGCAGAACAGCAACACAATGCCAAGAAGCCTAACACCAATTATTCTCCAAAAGACAGAATACAGTTCTTCTCCAGGCTTCTCTAGCCATTTTCTCTGCCATCTTTTCCAAGTGCAGTATTTACTCCTCCACATTCACTTTTTCCATGTCGTCCAAGAACTTGAGGGAGATGACATGCTCTGAATACAGGCCATATAACAGCACATGGACAAACACCTACACAGAAATGTTTGTCTGGAGATAAGTGTCAAAACATTTATTCAGGTGAAACAGGGATGAGAATGAATAAACCCATCCCCTTGCCTCTTATACAGGAACCTATCTCCCATTTAAACCTAGATTTAACCTAATTGCAAGCAAAAGCAGTCAGATACCTTAACAGCATTCATGAAGAATGTATTTCAAGGGTTTCCTTACTGTGCTGTTTCCCTTCGTCATTTCTAATTAGCCATTGCTAGAGCTGTCAGTACATTATGGTTTCATCCCAAACAGCTCACTACAAGAGATAAATACACGCAAAAATGCGGTACTGCTGCTGTTGAATTCTCCTCCTTTCCTGCAGAAGTACCAGTAAATTAGTAAAAAAAAATAGACACACCTGTGCTTTCTGTGTAAATTCCATTAAAATAATGCATAAAAATAAAATAATGCATAAAAATACCATTTTATTTTCCTAGGAGTACCCTCCTCTTGCCACCTTCTCAACTTGTGCAGCAACAAATCAGCCCTTCTTCCTTTTTTTCTCCTCCATTTACCATCAGACTACACTAGTCTCTCTCTTGCACAGTTGCTTCCACTTCCCTCTTTCTGATTTTTCTTGTTTAAGCTGCTGGGAGAAATCTTCCTTTGTAGGGCCAGAAGATAAAGGGCAGCTTCTTCAACATGCATATAGAAAAAGCCTCTGAAAGGTAGCTGGTTAGCATCACCATTCACTTTCACAAATAACTTTGAGGGTGTGTGTGCATTACAAAAATTATGTGCTCAGGTTCATGGTCTTGCTCAGGCCTTAAATACACGTCTTCAATTTGTACAGTCATATCCTAAAGTAAAGGTAGCCCTATCCTAGAAAATCTGCATAGTCTTTCTCAGTCCTGTACTCTGTCATCAGAGGTTGAGGGAGATCTGCTTCCACATGTGAAAGTTCAAAGAGCATTATCTCAGAATGCTGTGATACCGTCAACTTGATCCAGAAATCCCATCACATCTACAGGATTAAGTTAGCAACTGCAAATCTGATTTGCATGCTGCTTCTAGACCCTCAGTAATCACTACCTTTCCGTGTCTCTGCAATTCCCAAAAAAGGATCTCCAACAACTCTCTGAATGGGTATTGCCTCATACACTTGTATGGGTCAACAAAGCTACATGCTAAAGAAAGAGAAAACAAATTCTTTTTTGGGGCTAGTCAGAAAAGACAAGTTCGTCCACAGTACTTCACACACAAATTCCAAGAAAAAATATCCACGAAAGACTTCTACATGGCACAGAACATGAGCCGTGCACAGAAGTACCAATCAGATGTAAGCAACCAGAATATGAAGTGCTGTTTGGAGTGTTTTAAACAAACTGTACGGAGAGGTAAAAGGCAGCTTCTTTGCCTCAAATGCACAGGTGATATCCAGAGCCAGTAATGATCTACCGACAAAGATGAGCCCTCCTGATTTTGTTTATGCTGTCTTCAATAGGTATGACTTTCCAGTAGGTGGAAGGATCAAAGAATGACTCTATTATGTGCTGGAATACTCTAGAGATACAGAAATCTATTCTTTATCTACTTATACAGAAACAAGGAAAAGGAGTATAACAGAATCATGCCATCTCTTTCAGACACCACATCTTCAGTAATAATTACTGTTAACTCTGGGGCAACGATTTTGAAGGATGTTTCTCAGGCCTGATTTCATCAAAATCTCTGACCTTTTTTTTTTGTCTTTTCTTCAAATTGACCCCTGCTAGTATGCTAGTTAGCAAGTCCTGATAGTTAAATCCCTAGAGATAGGGACTGGACAGAATTTACTGTGAGGAAATAAGTCTTCTATCTATTTACCAGTTCACACTTGACAATCATGCCAACCAGACCGATCATTACCAGCTCATAGAACAGTTGTTGGTCCTGGCTATTAGCACAGGACAGGGTGCAGACATCTTCCTGGGATATGTGCCCTAGGTTAGGCTATGAATGTCTTCCAGGAGTTACAAGCCATTTTGTCAACTTCTACTGTATTTTAATTTTTTAAACCTGATTGCAAATTTCAATGCCATATTACATTCAATATTATCAAATAATGTCTTCCCTTTAAATATATATTTTTTTTAAAAAAGTTCTTTATACCTTTCTCAATGGATGGAAAGCTGGTTGTTGCAATGTGCTCTCAGGGGAGCGACTGCTGATGCTTGCTTCTTCATCTAGAGACCGTGGCAGGAAGGGACTGTCACCTTTGTCAAGAGGAATTACAGGCTTCTGGGCACCAAGTTCAGTGGAATTCTCACAGACCTACAAATCACAATTAAGAATCTGTGTCTTCAAAATCTCAGAAAAATAAATGGTAACAAATCCACATCAACTCACAGCATAAACATTATGACAAGACTGGAAAGACTGTAAAACAACAAACGTGTTCAAAATAACCCTAAGTAGAGAGATCAATGAATAAAGTTTTCTCTCAAACATTAATGAAATTTAAAAAAAAATAAATAAAAATCAATAAAGCTGCTGAAATGTACAGCTACTCCAAAAGCCTGCAGTCTGCCCCTACACTTGGAGAGCTATTTGAGATGGGAGCTCCAAAGAATTTACACAATGGGAAGTCCCATCCACCTTTCTGCTGCAACCTCCACTGTTTTGAATGAGTTTCAAAGCCACCTTCTTGCACACTTTATCTGCCTTGCAGATTGGATGCTTACCAACAAGCGCTGTCCCCTTCTCAAAAGCAAGATAGTTACCAACAGAGGAAAAAGGGAGGAGTTAGCCTTGCCGACAAAAGTGTAAAATAACAGCATGTATGAATACTGATGAAAACCTCCCAGACATGAGGCAGTACAAGAGCAGTTACTAGTAGAATGGAAATTAACTCTCAAACCAAATAAGGTGTTCTTCACTCTTTTTTCACTAATATTTTCAGAATCAAAAGGGAATCTTTTACAAGGACTCAGGGCTTATATTTTCCAGTAAAAAGGACTTAAAATGGAGAGTAAGACTACCACAGTCCTCCAGTTATCTATTCACAAAGGAGGAACGATAACACTTTTATTCTCCCACCTTGTCTATTTCAAGATTCAGATCTTTGGGATCCAGGTTGTTTACACAGCACTTTACAGAAAATTTTCGTACAATCTGCACGAGGCGTGAAGCCTCTCCTGAATACAAGCATAGACAAAACAACAACAGAAAGTTCAACCAAGTACATGAAATCTCAAAGGTGTTTCCCATTTCTGATCTTACATTGACTAAACACAATAGGAAAGAACAAAAGTTCTTACTTGTTCTTCATCTTGGACGTCTTGCTGAACTGGGGCTGGCTGCCTGACTATGTAGTTGATTTGACCAACTATGGTCTGTTGAACATGCTGAGGTGGCTTGGCTTGGTTCATCTGCAAGCTGGACTGTCCTTGGGCCTGCAGAAGAAGCTCCAGGTCCTTTTTCATCTCCTCGAGTTCAAACTGGTGGTGCATTATGTCCAGGCTCTGCTGGATGACTTGTTTGTGGGTGTTCTCATTCTGACCTGATGGTGGCAATGCTGGCGGCAGCTGCTGCTGCTGTGGTGGCTGCTGCAAGTGGTTAGATTTTACCTTCTGGAGATGACCAAGTTGCACTTGTACAGCTGATGCCTGCAAAGAAGCCTGTGTGCGGATTGGCTGTGGATGGCTCATGTGAACTTGCTGAGCCTCATGCGATACAACAGCATAATCCAGGGGTGCAGCCTGCTGCAGCTGCTGGGATGGTAAGTGCTTTCCCATCCTCCCAGACACATTCTCTGGCTCTGACCATGACTGCTGTTCCAGCACAGACTGTGTCAGCTTCATAGGCTGGGGGCCACCCCTTTGCTCTTTGTCAAGTTGCTGCATGCTGTACTGCAGAGAAAAGTGCTGCTGATGCGGTTCAGGATGTTGTCGAAAATTTTGATGGCGGTTGGTGTTTTGGTAAGAAGGCTGAGCTTTGTTTGGGTGAGGTAAGCTGAGGCAGTGCGAGCAACATGCAGGCATAGTACACTGAACTGCAGGTGGAAACTGATGCAGCTGGCTTTTCCCAGGATCCAGCTGTGATGCTGCTGAGCGGTGCCCGTGAGACAAGGAGGTCTGTAATCCTTGCACATTTCCACAGAGTAGCACATCTGACTGAGAAATGTGCCCACCTTCCATAGTGAAACCTCCTGGAAAAAAACCAGCAAATTTACTTCCTCCTACGATCTTGACAAATTTGCACAATAAAAACTGTAAACGATGGCCATTTCCTTGTCTTCATTTCAAATATAAAGATATTCAAATACCCTGTTCTTCAACATACCTTCAAGACAAATTTTTCAAGACTTTTCAGTGATGTAAAATCACATCAAACTCCCACTGATGTCAGTGGAATTCATGGTTGAATTACCAGCAAATGCTTTGAAAAACTGACCTCAACTTATTTTATTTTACTTGATGGATATGACCTATACTTTCATTTTTTTACTCAAGTATGAGCATATCTTCTCATCCGTAAGTACAGGTACAAAAGACTCCTTCCAGGGAGAAAGTGACAAAAATAAAAGAGATTGATGTTATGTAGGTGAGAATTGTAAAAGCTAGAAATAGAAGTGACCTATGAACTGATCTTGCCCATGCTTTTACTGAAGAGAAGATTATTCCCTGTAATACTTTTGATAGTGTTTTACACCATCTAATTTTAAGTATCTTAAAATGGGAAGAGAACCAATCTTTTAGACCATAGATCAGCCCACTGAACTGAATTTACTGTAAAAACCCACTGCAGCTGGGAAATTTATTGCTGGTGGGAAACAAAGTCACAGTATGCACATCTGTTATATAAATAACACTGTAAATATTACACAGTCAATGTCTTAATGCCATCTTTGTGCCCGTTAACTGTGTTTCAAGCACTGCTCAGGGCCCCTGGCCACTAAGATACTAAAGGATCTGAGCAGCACAGCCATGACTGAGCCCAGCTACCTCTGAGTAAGGCAGAGGAAATAGCACAAAGCCCACTGCAGACACTCCATTTCACAGGGTACTCCTTACAGGACTGCCAAAGTCACAGTGATGAATTCAAATACACTGGGCAGAGTCAAGGCTGTTTGATACCCAGTGATGCTACATTGTACCCAATTTCAGTTCAAAGTTATTTGTTTAGTCCTGCACAGTGTTTCCACTAAAATAGTAGTTATGTTCTTACACTGTGATTTTGTAAGACTATCAAAGATTACATTTATAGAGTGTATTTCTAGGTAACGTTTATATCGTGTTTATATATATATAAATATATATATATAAAATGGTGTCTACATAATAGGTGAATAGATGTAACTGGAGGGAAAACAGGAAAGTTCAGCCACATTAGCTTTTCTGAAAAATGTGACAAGTGGTACTAAACTGGAAGTCACAATAACAAAGGGGAGCACTTTAGGTAAAGTATTGTATTGTCTAGATATGTCTTGTCTACCTTTGGGTCCTTGCCTAATAAACGACAATATATTGTTCTTACCCAAGTTGGACAGTTGTTTAGTCCAGTAGGAGGGGTCCCAAGTAAATCTGATCTTCAGAGGAGGGCCTATGTCTGTGTTACAGTTTGTCTCTAACAAGTGCTGGATCTGAAATACAATCTGGTGAGCAATCAAAAGATGACAATGTTATTCACAATTCTAAAATAACGAAAAATGTTTTGTTTGAGAAACATCACATCCTTAAAACAGTTCTCACATTTACTCCACAATTTCAGTTTACTGAGAAAATAAATATGGCTCTTACCAGGTCTTTACTGAAGAGGAATGGGATGCTGTTTTTACTGCATACTGCCCAGCTGATGAAGTTCTGCACATGTTCTACCTGTCTGCTTAAAACCGCAACACCTTGCAGTTGTTGCTCCAACTTCTGCTTCCTCTCACTGGTGATTTTCTGTTAATAATGGGAATCAGTAGAAGATAGTTGTCATTCTTCAGGCACACATAATGCATAATTATACTAATTAATACTAATAATTGGCTCTACATTATGCATTACTTGCAGGGACACTGCTATTTAGAATCTCTTTAAACCACCAGTGATAAAAAGAAAGCAAATCCTATTCAATAAATATGTCTGAATTCAGCAAGAATGATGATGACTTCTCCAGGAGCAAACAAACTACATCATTCTGGCCTTGGTTTAAGAGAATAATACAACCCAAGAAAGCTGTAAAAGTTGGATCAAATTTGCACCTGGACCACTTTCTTGTCTCTTACAATACAAAACAGAAGAGACCCAAGAAAGAAATTAAAAAGAGGGGAAGCACACAGCATTTCCTCAGAATGGTCTTCCAGTTTCCAGCAATTCATGATTTAGGGACCACAAAGAGACAGGCTACATTATCACCCTCAGTGTATTTTTCTATGAATGTGTCTAGTTACTTAAATATCTTGCAGCAAGCACTTACACACATATTTAACATTTAGATGAAGAACTATCTGCCCTGGTTTGATCTGAACTTGGAACCCCCTGATTTCATCTGATGCCCCCCAGTTCAACAGAGCACAGTGCATCTACTTCAAGTGTATGCACACTCTGGTTGTGGTTATAGCTAACGTGGACAAACACTGAAATGTTGTCAAAACACATGAACACTGAATTTACTTAATGTTTAATATTACTCAAATGAGAACATGTGTTTCTCTTTTTTGTAAAGCTACTTAGATGAGTAACCACATTTGAGTCAAATATGTAAGTTCAAAGGTAGCCAGCAACTGCTGAGTGCCTTGTCTTCCCAATACCTGCTAAAATTACCCAAGAATAACTGAGAACTGGAAATTCTGATCAGACATGATAGAAATTTTTGTGCTCAGCACATTTCAAAATAAAGTCATTTATACTTCAATTGGATATCTAAAAACTGAAGAGACAAAACTGCAGGCTCCATTACAAAAAGTAGGCCAGAGGATCATTCTCAAAACAGGATATTAAATGTACTACTAGCATCTTCTACAAATTAAACGCGAAAACTAGAGGCTGGTTTGTTTTGTAAGTACTCAAAAGGTACACACATATTCTCTGTAACTGCATTAGAAAATGTGGTTAACTCATGATAAGCAAACATTTTGCTACTTCATCTTGAATCTTTGTCAACCATTGACTCCACATAAAATTCTGCAGAAAGAAAAATATTTGAAAATATAAGCAAAGGGACAATAACTCTCACAGTCTATATTCTTTCCATTGGCACTGGGATTAAATTTAATTTGGTTTAATTTCCCAAGGTATCAAAGAAACTAGCCTTACTTACTTCAAGTTGTTCAAGAAGGATGCTTGTTCGTTTATTGATTTCATTCATCAGAACCATCTTGGCCATTTTTATTTGATTTTCTACCTTTTTGTATAAATGTTTCACTTCAAGCAACCTATGGGTAAGAGATACACATCCCTGGATGAGCCAACTGGTATGTCATTTATTCAGAGCTTAGTAGTTATCTGTCACAAGAACAGACCCAACTATTGTCAGAGAACTCCAATGAAATTTGTACCATTTCGCCTAAGTTCTCCCATACTTCTCTTCAAACATAAAATTATGGAAGGGTTTGGGTTGGAACGGACCTTCAAAGGTCATCTAGTTCAACCCCCCTGCAAAGCACAGGGACATCTTCAACTACAGCAGGTTACTCAGAGCTCCATCCAACCTGACCTTGAATGTTTCCAGGGATGAGGAACCTACCACTTCTCTGGGCAACCTCTTCCAGTGTTTCACCATCCTCATTGTAAAACATTTCTTCCTTACATCTATTCTGAATCTACTCTCTTTCAGTTTAAAACCATTAACCCTTATCCAAACACAACAGGCGCTGCTAAAATGTTTGTCCCCATCTTTCTTAGAAGACCCCTTTAAGTATTGAAAGGCCACAACCAGGTATCCCCAGAGCCTTCTCTTCTCCATGCTGAACAATCTCAACTCTCTCAGTCTTTCTTCATAAAAAACCATTTCTGTGGCCCTCCTCTGGACCTGCTCCAACAGATCTATGTCTTTCCTGGGCTGAGGACTCCGGAGCTGGACGCAGTACTCCAGGTTGTGTCTCACCAGAGCAGAGCAGAGGGGCCTCCCCTGACCTGCTGACCACACTTCTTGTGATGCAGCCCAGCATACAGTTGGCTTTCTGGGCTGCAAGCACACACTGCCAGCTCATCTCCAGCTTCTCATCCACCAGTACCCCCAGGTCCTTCTCTGCAGTGCTGCTCTCAATCCCTTCATTCCCCAGCCTGTATTGATACCAGGGGTTGTCCTGACCCAGGTGCAAGACCTTGCACTTGGTCTTGTTGAACCTCACAAAGTTCACAAGGGCCCACTTCTCCAGCTTGTCCAGGTCCCTCTGAATGGCACCCTGACCCTCAGATGTGTCAGCCACACCACGCAGCTTGGTGTCATCTGCAAACTTGCTGAGGGTGCCCTCGATCCCACTATGTCGTTGATGAAGATATTTAATAGTACTGGTCCCAATACGGACTCCTGAGAGACACCACTGGTCACTGATCTCCATCTGGACATTGAGCCATTGACCAGACATCCTAATGCTGATTGACTCCCACAGCCTTAAGTCCTTTGTCAACAAACACACACAGAAGCCATATCCAAATAACTTTCACTTTATACTAGAGTATAAACAGTAGAAATAAAGTTGTATTCTTTCAAAGTGGTTGAAACTGTTTTACTAATGCAGAAGAGAGATCCAACAGTTAACAAATACATATTCAGGAGATGAAATCCAGTTCATATAATGAAATACTTTCATTTTTATACTAATTTTGACTGGAACTGCAGATTGTTTTGAGGTTTCCTAAAGAACAAAAGTATTTTAAATATAGTCCATATTTCTAATCTTTTCAGATTCTAGTTTGGAAACAGATTATAGAAAGAAATCTTAACTCTGAAACCAGCTGTCACATGCCTTATAAGGACTATGAAATCAATGCCATGACTTGTCAGTACCACTTAAACATGAATTTGATTTTTTTAATCTTCCTATTATTTCCTAGCATCCAAGAAAGAAAATATAGCAGCTGTATCACATTTAGTGAAAATAGTACTTTTACTGACCAAAAAATGCATAGAAATTACCTGTCTTCAATCTGTTTAGCTGAAACCTGAATCCCATTTCTTTTTTCTTCCACTTTAGTTATGACATTTTCCAGGATAACTCTCTGATTTTGCAAAGCTTCACCAAGATGTCTGAACCTGTGAAAGGAGAAATTCTCACATCATGCTTTTTCTGTGGATAAATAATCAACTTAATAGTTGATATGTTTAGGGGACCAACTGCCTTAATACCTGTCTGGACATGGTCCCCCGTTTACTTCATACTACAAACGTCCTCTGTGGCAGCTAAACTTTATCGCCCCTCATACAGGCAGTCTCAAACAAAAAGTGTCACTCTGTATAGCCAGTCCTTTACACAGCTCACACACTTCCACAGGCAAGCAGCATGCTCAAATGTTGGTAACTCTGGCTTGTACAGTCATGATGCCTTTGATAAGAACAAACAGAAGTATTGGAACCATGCTAAGTATTGAGTTCAACCTGTGCCTCTGAGCACAGCCACGAGGAACTATATGCATGCATATACAGTATCTGAGCAGACAATACAACTGGGAAGGTACACGCTGTTGAGAGTAGCGGGTGATCCTGGGAGGGCAGTAACCCACGTGTTACACTGTTTGGGCATAAACCAACCAAACCGGATCTGCTATGGCTTTGAAGTGTGGACTACCCTGCAACTTCAGCTGACAGCAAATGCAGATAAACACTCTTCAATTTAAATTAGCTACAGTTTTAGACAGGATTATGATTAAGCAATCGCTGTGCGTACCTGTGTTCCTTATGCTCTGTCAGAAGGCAGCTGTGGCACATAAGGGTATCACAGGTCTCACAAAACAGCTTGAGTGGCTCTTGAGCATGCACTGGACAAAATAAGGAAAACTCACTTGCTTCATCTTCAGTTGCTGAGGAATATAAGGCAATGGTGTCATTGACAAGGATTACTACTATAGATCAGAAAAAGAGTTGCCAAACTCTCCGAATTTTATTGAAAGTCATGGTGTTATTTTTAAAAGCTCAAGACCCTGACACCATCTGATTATATGAAGCAGGGTTTGTTTCCATTTTTTTCCCGGTTTTATACATCCTATAAACTGAGCACATCAAAGGGGATCAGAAATGAGTCATCAAACCAAATTCGTATTGTCCTCTAAATTCTCTTGAATTTTAAATATCTCTCATGATTTTGGGCACCTGCCTCATGAATTTGAATGCCCTGGTCTGACAAACCAGTCAACAAAACTGTATTGTAAAATGTAGAAAAGGAAATACATTAAATAAGCCTGAAGTCACAGCAGAAGCAAGGAAATCCTTCGTTCTTAAAAAGTCACATGAGGAATTGTTTTTCAAGCTTGTGCTTGTTGTAAATGCAGTACATAAACTTCAGCAGCTAGGCTCAGGCACTAAAACCTCTTCTTGTATGGATTTTCTAAAGAGCAATGTCATGAACATTAAGAATGAACAGTGGATATGTAAAGTGGAAACAATCTATTCTTGTCTTCTTTCCTGTATACAGCAGAATCCTGGTTTAGAAAGAAGGAACCTCTCAATGAAAGAATGGAAAAAAAAACAACCACCAACCCACTAAACCATGGCAGAACAAAACCCCTTCCAGTGAAGTTAATCATTCTCAAGTACATCTACATTAATAGTTAATGCAGGGAGGGGGAAGCTCTTTTCTTGCATCCCCAGAAAAGCAGGCCTCAGAGCCTTATTTTATTAACCAGTGTAAAGTCCACCCATCATTATTACTAGTGAAAAACATTATCTTCCTAAAATGCTAAAAAAGCACAAGTAATGCTAAAGTACAATGACAGATTTGTGCAGGTCAGTGTTCAAATCCTCTGTCCAAAAACCATCAGCATTATTAGCACATAGAGACATACACAGGGACAACAAGAAGAGCACATGATGGCATTCTCCAAGCACTCCAACACACACTATCCCATTATTGTTTACCAACACACGAGAAATTCAACAAGACAATCATCACTGGATGAAACACTGATTAAAAACGTGACAGCCTGAGTTCTAGCATATCCTAGTATTTGCTTTCTTTGAAATATCCTGAGGGTTCTATGTTCTAAATAAATAATATATACACAAATAATAATAATTTTTAAAAGCACACATTTCATCCCCAGTAATTTTTTAGATTAACCAGCCTACATATACAATACCAATCTCCTTGTTCATCTTTTTTGTTCAGGACACAGAATTTAGAACTAAAAAGATTTTAGTTTATGTGTTTGCATCTTTTTATTTATACAGCACACATAAAACCACAGCTAAGCCACAGGTATATTTCCTTACCATTAATTGTCAACAATATAAGCTGGTAATCTTACTCATTTCTTACACAGAAATAGTTGGAGCCTCAAAACCACAGTCCTTATCTTGCCATCAACTCAAGAAGAAAAACATAATGTCCATCCAATCAGAGCATTTGAAGGGGGACTGGGGATACTTCAGTTTATATTATTCTCTAGAAAAGACCCAGAACACATTTTAATGTAATCTGTGCTTTTTAATTATTACTATTTTTAAAGACTTTTATTTTTCGTTTATGCTCTATTTTGCAATGGCATATCATGTCTTAAGTGCCTCAAAGTCTGTTTAACATGAACACTCAGGACTTTAAAGAACTCCATCTATGCTAAGCATGAAGTACAGGCTCCTACAAACAAAATCCTAAAGCAAATAAACAAAACAAACAAAACCAATAAAAACCCCACACCTAAAAGGTATAATCAGTGGGCTACAACTACGTTTATTGCTTGTTTTGTCCTTCACACCTTGTCCATAAACACAGGAATGCTTATATGGTAGTTTGACACATTCTGTGTTTCCTGAAGGAAATTATGCAAAAGAGGACAGAAATACTGAAAGGGCAAGGCTGGTTGTTAATACAGCCTGCGAAATGCTAGCTCATCACTCCACGGACTGGAAAGACAGGTGGAAAAGATCCCTAAAACACAAATATCCAAAGCTTTTCAAATACTGTGGCATGTTTGTGTCAATGGCCCTAAAGCTATAGGGAAATCACATAATCTCTCATCAAGACATCCACAGCCTTCCGAGTCACACACAGAGCCTGCAGCTCCTCCTTTTTCAGTTGAATAACTCATATGAGAAGAAACAAAATTCCAAAGTGCGTCTTCAGTACCTGTGCAGCCCTTCAGGGATACAGACAGGAAGCGATCACCAGTTTCCTTGCCATGTCTGTGATCCTCTGCACATGAGCTGCACAACCACTTATTGCAGATTGTGCAGAGACTGTGAGCAGGTCTCTTCTCTTCACATGACGAGCAGCTCTAAGAACAAAAAGTGCAATTATGTAAAAGGATAGCACATTAGCTGTACAAACTCTTTTACAGACTATAATTCAGATTGGTAAGCTTAATATTTTTCTTTCTCAGACTAATGCAATTCAAGTGATGTTAAGAATCTGGTTATTGTTGTAAAAGGGAACAGAACAAAATCTAGATTTGAAGCTCTTAAATAAAATCGGTTGTCTTTCTGTGCTCCAGCACAAGCATAGTTATGACACGACCTGCAAGAATTATTCAGCAAAATTATAGGGTCCATGTTACATGTGAAGTCAGAAGAAATAATCATGACCTGTTTCTTGTGAACTGAAAAAGCCATAAAACAATGAAATAAGACTTGTCTAATTTCAGCTAAGAAGAGTTAGGTCAAAAATACATTTGAAAATTAATGTTGTGCTTTGCAATCCCTTTCTGTTAGTGTTGTATTAGTTACAATTACCATTTGACTTAAATATATCAAATAAGTATACACCTTACTTTATATTTATTTATATATACTTAGATAGACAGATATAGATATTTTCTACCTCAGAAAATATAGTCTACTTGCCAAATAAATATGTGAAATGTTAGGGTCAAACATAGCCCATCGAAAAGGTTTCAATCTACCATTTCCTTTCTAATCACAACATCATGCAAAAGCATTTTACCATAACATTTCAGTGTCATTCCCTAGTATCTGTCCATTACTAATTGTTTATTAACAACAACAAAAAAATCTATAGGCTAGAATCCACTTCTGCTTTCATGTATGTGAACATAAATTGGAGCTACTTCTGCAGAGCTACTCTCAATCTACAGTGCTTTACTGACAATTACAGCTTACTCTATTTGCTTTAGCACTGTGTGAACCACTGTGATACAGTATAACGGTCAAAAAAACACATAAAAATGCCAGTGGTAAGGCAATTTAGAGAATATGAGGACATCTTCATACTACTAATGAAAAACTTAGTTCCTGTTCTCTAAAGCACTGACCAGAATTAAGCTCAATTTATGTATTTACATCACAAGTGGTGAACTGGAAACAGAAGACAGGAGAATATGAGAAGAACTGGAAATCTGAATTAACTATCATCTCTTCATTCAACAATTTAGAAAATGCCCTTTGTTGTAGAGACCATATTGTCTGGAAGCACTGCTGAAGGGGAAATAAATAAAGCTGCAAGTAAATGAAGTGGTAATTTGATCTTTGGTATCCAGAATGAACTCAAGAGCTGTTTCAAGACAGCGATGATGATACTTCTTTCTAAAAGGATTTGCACTAGGCATAAAATACCTTGTCTGAAAACTCCTAATATTAATATTTTTGACTTACCATAGCCACAAATAGGTACTAATGGGCAGAGTGAGAATAGTGATGCAATATTACCATCATCAAAGCATAAAATCTTTTCCATCAGTTTACCAAACACAAACATTTCCTGCAAGGTTACAATATAACTACTGTACTTACCATAGATTGGTTTGGGTTGCAAGGGACCTTAAAGCTCATCCAGTCCAACCCCTGCCGTGGGCAGGGACACCTCCACCAGACCAGGTTGCCCAAAGCCCCGTCCAACCTGGCCTTGAGCACTTCCAGGGAGGGGGCATCCACAGCTTCCCTGGGCAACCTGGGCCAGTGTCTCACCACCCTCAAGGTAAAGAATTTCTTCCTAATACCTAGTCTAAATCTACCCTCTTCCAGTTTAAAGCCATTTCCCATCATCCTAACGATACCTACCCTGGTAAAAAGTCCCTTCCCAGCTTTCCTGTAGGCCCCTTTCAGGTACTGGAAAGCTGCTATAAGGTCTCCCAGGAGCCTTCTCTTCTCCAGGCTGAACAGCCCACATGTTCAATGTTATGTATAGTTCCTGAATATTGCTACTGCTCAAGGCTACTCAAGCAGCTAATAATAGATGGTAAAATTACTTCCTATGGTGTCCTTTCTGTTGGGCATCAGCTTATCCACAGTTCAGTGCATCCCAAACTATTCTGATGGGAAACATGAAGAGAAGTATATAGTAGCATGGGCTCAGCAGATAGGTCTTGATGCAAGCCCTGGTGAGAGGTTCTCCTCATGGTGTCTCAGGGAATAGAAAGCCTGATAGAAGAATTACAGTTTTTGCTGGTCGTCTTAGTTTAAAATCATGGCTTTAACATTAAGTGGAGCACCTATATCCACCTGTATTCTGAGGCACAAGTGAGTCAAGTTCTTATTCACTTCACAAGAAAAAACAAAATTGTTCAGCTGGAATTAATTTAAATTTTATCATTCCCTTCAGTGGGGCTGGAATGTCACAACAGGTCTCGTATCAAGTCGTTACTCAAGAGTTTCTAAGTGTTTCAAATTTTTTTCAAAGAGATTGTGTGATTCTAGACAAGACAACAAAGCAAAGCTTTAAAAGCGTTTGATTGTCTCGGCAGGGAGTATCTGTGTAAGTCATTCTGCTATTTTAGCCATTTGCTCATCGGCAATGTTTACCACAAGGTACATGTAATGATTTAAACCAAAAATCCCAATGTAACAGATATAACCAAAATGCAAGGGTATTTATTCTGGGAAGCAAAGTTTGTTATAAAAAAGGAACTGTCTAATTTAAAATGTACCCATGTACCAGCTTAAGGAGCAGGTCAATAGCTGAGAGATGCTCTGCCTTCTCTGCAATAACCAAAACTGTTTAATCACAGGTTTACCTGTAAGTGTTCAGCTGCCAGTCTGACTAGGACTTATATTGACTCTGCACTGTGTTAACATTACTTTTAAGTTGCAGAGCACAGAGTGTTCCCAGGGTTACACTATTTATGATGCGGAAATGGGCTTTTCGGCAAGAGGTTCTGAATTGCACATTTTTAAGACTCCTGCTCCTGTCATATAGCACATTCTATCATTTATGCTTCACTGTCTCACGCACTGAGAAACACCTTGCTTCCTGACACTTGGTTACAAGCCTTGACAGATTTGAATGCATTGGGTGAATTAAGAAAATGATGGCAGTTCAGCTGTATCTCGGATGAGCTGGTGCTTCTCCTTTTGCTGTTACTGACGGTGAAACTATGGCTTTAGGTTTTTTGGGGGGTGGCGGTTAAAAGACAGTAAAAGCAAGCTTCACTGACACATGACTTGACTGCTAATAAAAAGAAGTAAGCCAAAAACTTGAAGGCTTGTGAGTCCCTCTAGCGTACCCCTATACTCAGTGAGAAATCTGCTTCACTGAACTGCTCTTAGGACTCCTAAGGGATTACAGAAAAGAAAAACCTTATTTTAAATGTCTGAAAAAATAATCTAGTGCTTTAGATACTATAATTTTGTTACCTTTCTACACAAATTCTCATTGAGAGGTATGTGATGTAAGTTGTGGTAATTAAAAAAATCCCAGTACAATAAGTGCTTTCTAAGCATTCAGAAATATCTTAGGAATTTTCTTCTCTTTGAAGAGTGCATGTGAATAGAGCTCTTCCTGTTTTAGATGAAGTTACGTTGCACTCCCCAAGCACCTTACACCTGAAGACGTCAACTTGCTTGCAGTGAAGACGTTGCTTGCAGTAATTTTTTCATTTCCCCAGAACACTCCATGGATTAGGTTACCTGTTCTTTTCCTTTTAACAACTGAGAAGATGAAGCAATGGAGACAGAAATGCCTGACAAGGATGAAGTACATCCTCTCTATACTTTTTCGCAACAATGTCACTGGGCAACTGACTTGCACAACTTAAAGCAGTCTCAAGCCTTCTGCATGGGACAGAATTGGCCTACAAATTATTGCTGCCTCTGCAGGAGCTAAAAGAAGTGGAAAGATATGTCTTCTCTCCTACATTATGGAAAAAGTGTTCCCCTCCACCCGAAGGCCCTGAAACTGAATATCCAATGTGGCTATCCAGTCTACTTAGGGATTAAAAAGTGCAAAACAGCTAGACTAAGGTCCAGGAGCTGGTTCAGGTCAAGCTGGTCAGTACCCATGCCTCTGTGTTACTCTTCACTTGCTTTGGATCACACTTGGGATAAGGCAGTCAGCAGACTACAGAACAGTTTTGACAAGTTTTCACCTGTTTCAACTCCCAGCTACGGGCAATACTACCACATGCTGAAATTATCTTCTTCATGCAAATAACAGAATACTGTTTTGTAAAAGAGCAGGCAGAAATACACGCCTTTCTCTGTCCCTCCTAATGATCCAAAGTAAAACACTGTAAAACTTGTGAGAACAGTTATGCCTCTTAACTGGGTATTTAACAGAAGTGAAATCTACCCATGTACAGCGGCAATACAAGGCCAAGGTAGGAATCCTACGCCTTCCAATTACGCTTTAAATCCATACCCAACTGAAATATGATGCCACCTTTTTTTATTTTATCATTAAAACAGACAATCAGAAAGTGATAATTGCCCACAGAATCTAATGGGTAATCTTGGTGTAACCACTCAGCCAGTGGTTACACAGTCTGCTTGTTTACTTCGTGTTGAGCAGAAAGGGGACAATGAGGAATCCAAGAGATTCAGTATCTTCCTAACATATGGATTGTCACAGATCCAGTCCTACACCACTAGTATCTATATTTTTTAACCACCTACTCTATTTTAAGTATACAGAGTCAAGCTCACTCTTCAAATACAGATTTAAATGTACTATGAAGGCAGTATGTCCATCTCTAGGACTGAAGTAATTACAGTGCTGTAGAAGAGTACTTCTACAAACAGCGGAAGATACTGTTGTTCAAGATGAAGTTTGCTGTGTTTTCAGTGTTCATCTGGTAGTGTTTCAGCAACTCAAAAGGCACCCAACTTAGTGGCTGTCACTTACCTTTGCCATAGCTGAATCACCAGTGGAGAAGTCCTTGAGAAAGAAATTTTCAACTACATCCCTTGCAAAGCAGGTCTGTCTGCACACAGGGCAGGAAAGGATAGCTGAATTAAAAAAACCAAACAAATAGATAAACAAACCCACAAATAAAACAGTGCACACCAGCCATGTGAACCAGGAAATTATATAAAACCACACTTCAGTATTGCTGGCTTTCTTTACATCACATGGACACACTTAGTTAACTAGGAAACTAAGGCATTCTGCAAGCTCTAAGTTACTTGTGGCTATATTTAGCTCAATAAATAGGAAAGAAAACCAAAGCAACAAAATCCCTAGCAATACACTATAGTTCAGTTGACTTATTTCAGTATTTTCCAATGATACCTGTATGCCCAGATTCCCATGAATTCATTAAGGCTTACAGCTTTGATAAAAACTGAGCGTCACTTTAAACTGTATTCCCTTGCTGCAGAGCCACGTGTGCTTTCTGATACTTGCTACAGTTTTTCTAGACTGGAGGTATCACAGAACCACAGAACCACAGAACGTTAGGGGTTGGAAGGGACCTCAAAAGCTCATCCAGTCCAATCCCCCTGCCAGAGCAGGAACACCTAGATGAGGTTGCACAGGAAGGCGTCCAGGCGGGTTTTGAATGTCTCCAGAGAAGGAGACTCCACAACCTCTCTGGGCAGCCTGGTCCAGTGCTCGGTTACCCTCACTGAGAAGAAGTTTCTTCTCAAATTTAAGTGGAACCTCCTGTGTTCCAGTTTGTGTCCATTACCCCTTGTCCTATTGTTTGTCACCGAGAAGAACCTGGCTCCATCCTCGTGACACTCGCCCTTTATATATTTATAAACATGAATGAGGCCTCCCCTCAGTCTCCTCTTCTGCAAACTAAAGAGACCCAGCTCCCTCAGCCTTTCCACATAAGGGAGATGCTCCACTCCCTCCATCATCTTTGTAGCCCAACACTGGACTCTCTACAGGTATATCAAAACATAAACCACACATTGCCCAATACTAGTTCTACAGTGCAGCCTGCTATCCAAGTGAAGTCAAAGAGGAGTAACATGCTGCTAGCAGAAGCAACAAAGCAGAATAAAGATAAAGGATAAAAGGTTTCATAAATAAGCCAGAATTGCAAACCATGTATCACAATAAATCCACAGGTGGTAAAACACAATCACCCCTAAAGCAAAGCAAAGCAAATCAAAGCTAAGCAAAGCGAGCAGTGTGAGCACCAAAACGTGGCTCCACCTTCGTTAGCTACTGAGCACAACTGGGATGAACCTCAGTGTTTGCCTGGGCTGAGAAATAACAGTTCCAGAGGGTGACCATAACTGTAGAGCTGCATTTTTGCACATCTGCTATTTGATTCCTAGACTTTTGGGGCTAGGATTTACTTTTTTTTTTACAAGATCCAGTCCCTTTTTTTTAATTATTTTTTTTAGAGGAGGGTGCATGTTTCTGCCCACATTTCTGTAAACTACTGTAGATGTGAACCCAGTCCTTTATAGGTGGTGGTTGTGTGTCAGTCTATTTTTGCCTTATCTTGTCAAGTCATTTTTTTCCCTACGTTTTTCCATGCTGTTGACAACAGAGTTTCAGTGCTATGCTCACCTTGCCAAGTGATCGGCTGATGATAACTAACAGCAGTAGTTTCCATGACTAAATGATGCAAATTCACTTAAAGCAAGATTTTAAAAGTAAGATCAATGACAACTTTCTACTTGACTGACAATGTTCAGTGTGCTCTTTTCCGTAACCAAAATTATTTTTGAATAAGGAGAGTAGCCTGTGGATTAATTAAATCTTAAGATGTCTATTACTGTTCACATTAGACAGTTGTCAGAGACTCTCATGTTTTCCAGGTGCCCAAGGGACATTGCTCTTGCAGTCCCTGGCCAGGTTAATTCTAGCCCTGAATGTCTCCTGTTCCCAGAGCCAGGCTACTGCTGACAGCTGCACTTCACATTGAAGAGACACGCAAACCAAAACCCTTCCTACATTACTTCTGACAAAAGCACTATGCAGTCAGATGTCTGAATACATTCACTTTAATTCACAAATGTTTTGAAGAAACATTGAGTTCTGTTACATCTCTTTTGACAGGGACACCTTACTCAGAATCATTTCCACCAGGTCAGATCTTTTTTAGCCCAAATCTTGTTAAAAAAGTATACTGTTTACTATTTTCAAAGGCTGCATTTACAACAGAACTGCGATTTGGGGGGGGGCAAATCTACCACACACTTGTTTAACTGTGCATTTCATACAACACTGAGTGTTCCTGTAGACACGAGAAGGAACAGGCGGTACCCACGAGTGCCCGTGCTACACGGCTACAAGTCACCCCAGGGAAAAGGGCAATGCAAGCAATTGCCAACGCTTTGCTCATCTTCTGGACATGGAACTTGAGCCTTGTTTAAGTGTGTCCTGGTGACAGAAGTTACAAAGAGGCTTAAAATTTATCTGATAAAAATGCTCATGATGGCAGAAAGCTGTAGAAGTCTTTTAAACCCTTCTTGTGCTTTGCATTCTTAATATAAGGAGCGCAGCTGGAAAGGTATATTATTTACCTACGCTATTTATAGCTAATCACCTTCATATATTACACCCTAGGACAACAGAACACTTTTCTATCAGTCACACTGAAACCTCTCCATGCTTTCCCAAATTATGGCTGTGAGTGTCTCTTAGATATCTGTTAACAGCTCAGTTCTCTAGAGAAATGTGAAAACAGTAGGAGCGCTGCAAGACCTAAGACAAGATGTGTTACACAAACAGTGCTCTCCTACTCCTTGTAAATGGTGCATACAATCACCAGTGAATTGTAGTGCTAATTCCTAAAAGGTGAATCAGTTTTCAAGCTTCCCTGTGAGCACCTTACAAAGTGACAGTTATAACAGCAGCAGAAATAAAAAGACAAATATATTTTGATTTAAAAGCTAGGAAGCAAAGTACCTACTTTGCAAACAGATTCTCAAATAAGACTCATGGGACATGCTCTAATTCTCGGTGCAGTCAGTAGGAAACCATCTACCAACTTTACGGGGAATCGCCTCCAGCCCTTTGAGACTTCAAACCAGTTTCTTACTCCCATAACAGCATTGCCCAAGCAGTGCCAGTTCTTGGTCTGGCTAATACAGAGACAAAACCTCCATACTGAGACTACATAACATGCCACAGATTGACCGAAGGGGACATTTTCAACAGGTCACTTTCTGAAGTTAGGAATGCACAGCTCTCTCGGTTATTCTTTCACCTACATGCCATATGGGTGAGCACGCAGTCTTACAAAAAACATTTCTGGGAACAGCTGCTTACTTGGAAACAAAAGCAGTGCTCAGGACTTTGCCATAGCAAGGACAACTTCTGTTTAAACACCACATAAAGTAAAAGAAGTTAATATTGAAGTTACCATTTTATTAATGCTAAATCAGATTATATCAATTGAATGATATTTAATGGAATGCTCACAGCCTCAGGCATGTTCATGTGAACTTTAAATCCTGCTAATTTGTTACAAAGCAGTTTAATATAAAACGCACTGTATAAAGAATGCATTAATTCCACAATGGGCAAGGCCATCTTTTGAATGTTTTTAAATACATTCAAAGAAAACATCAATAAATTCCACCCTAAGAAAACTTTTATAGATTTCGGTTCTGCACAAAAGCTTCCTTATACATAGTGAGAAATGCAGTAGTATTAATAAATATGTCAATCACGATTTTGGAGGTAGATGACATTACTGCTGATTAATATTAGGAGAGATCTAAAAGTGATGCCCTGGATGCCGCGGGGCAACTTTTTCCCAGGTTTTAGATCCAAGTTATGCTACTGAAATCAGTGTTGTTCCAGAAATACACATGGAGTGAGTTGTGCACACACAGGTCAGAGCTTTGCATCAGACTCACTACCACAGACCATCAAGTACAGCACTTTTACACTGTGTAAACGTCAAAGTGTGTCTTAAATATCAAGTAACTGAATTATAATGATTTCAAATCTAAAAATCCCTTGAGACGAACATAAGACATGTATAGATCTCAGCTTAATAAAAAAATAAGAACAAAGAGCATAGCAGTTAACAGGAAAAATAACGGCGACACCATGGCAATACTGTACTGGAAACAGACTCCTACTGGTAGGAGGACTAATCAGTAAACACCTTCTTGCCTGTCCTAATAGTGGATTCTATATTTAAAACTTTATTAAAAGCACAGGGGGAATATTTGCATCTTGCTAAAAGAGGGATTCCCTGAATGTGATAGCTTCGGAGATCATACTTGTTCCGCTAATTAGGCTTCTTATTTGATTCCCTTTCCATTTAATAAAAATGTGTGCTCCCTGGAAATGCCTAACCTTTTTCAATATAAATTCCCCAAAGAATCTAATGATAGCTTGGCATAACTACACTACAAAACGGTTTGTGAAGCAATTACCCTGACATTAAGCAAACCTTACATAAACATTTACAAATAGCCACAAGCAGCAGCTACTTCAATAACACAAAGCAAGCACGCTATGGTGTGCTCACGTGCAGAGTGCAAATCACCAGTAAAGCACAATTTCCTAGAAACCCCTTACCTGTCCTCCGAATAAACAGTCACTTAGAGAGCTACACACAAAGTCACTTGTGTCAGGGAGAGGGTGGTTATTGAGCAAAACAGCACACGGTGCACTCCCTGGAACCAGACTTTGCTCCACTGCATCCTGAAGTTGCTACACCATTCACGGACTATCTGGAGCTGCTCCCCCTTTTTCAGCCAGAAATGCTGACAAATCAGCAGGGCAGGAAGATATACAGGGCCACTGGAAGATGTTTTCCTTTTCCTCTTGCCTTCTTTCTTGCCCTTGTTTCTCAGGCTCCTTCAGGCCTCTGTTAACTTGCCTTGGTTGTATTTTTCCTGAAGTAGTGGAATAAAATCCTATAGTGCAAATGAATAGCAGCAACCTACTTCCCTTCTTGCTCGTGTCTTCTCTCACTCCTCAGATTACCCTGGAGCAAGTGTGCAGAAGGAAGGAGAAGAGCTTTTCCAGATCCAGGTAGCAGCAGGACTTACAATGTAATTCACTCCCACAGTACATTTTGCAG